GAAAGCAAACGTCTGCTCGTCAATTTATCTTCTGGTAGCGCTAGCTTTAAGCATAAGGTGATTATTTAGCTTCCTGTCACAGTTTAGGCGTTAGGCGTTAAGGCACGGAATTATTTGGCGACATTTATCGCAGACCCACCTATTTTAAGTGGACTGGGCGTTCCTATTCTGGCGGTCTTACAGGTCATTCTTTAGCATTTAATCAAACCACTCACTGCTTAATTCTTTCCTAAAATACTGATAGCACGTCTGGGGCTTTTTCCACCCGCTGCATTCCCTCATGGAGAGTAGTGATTCACGCATTCAGTCCAATCATACCATTCTTCCATTTGCAAGGCGAGATGACGTGGCTTGCCCTAAAAATGTCACAAACGCCTGCTCCTGTCTTTGCCTATAATGGGCTTAGCTTACCCCAAAATTAGTTAACATATTAAAGTCTTCGGATGGTTAGTACAAAACCCGCCCGAACAGCCGCTTGTCTTCGTCCGGATTTAACTCTTATTTTCGTTGAGGACGTCTTCTTTTTGGAGTAGAAGCAGTCTGCTACATTGAATAATTTATAATCAGACAGATGGGGCGGGCTCTTAATATGAAATGCTACTTGAAGGAATTATTAATGCGACGTTTACTCTCCCCCCTTGTACTATTCGCAACCAACTTACTGCAGAGCTCAAGGGTTGCACAGTTCGTGCATACGGTCAACTTAACGGTAGGATTTTGAACGTTGGCAATAACCGCTAGAGTTATTGGATCCATGACATTTCGAGAGAGCACTTCAGTTGCTACTTCTCATTGCATAAGGTAAGTCACGTAAGAGAAGATACAAATTGAATTCACTCAGAAAAATCGATACAAACAACAAGGTCAAAAGAATTGGCCAAGAGGCCAATCAATAGCGTAAGAAAGTTAAAACGCTATGGGCAGCAAAAAACGGGGAAAGATGTCTAAGGTAGAAAAGTTGGGAGGGGAATGTGTAAACAGGGAACCAATGTTACCACGGCAGAGTTAGGTTCACTACATGCTCCAGCTGTTTACATAAGTCGGGTTTGAACCGCCGTATGTAGGCTGTCTCCAGGTAGCATAAGGTACGAGTTGTTCGTGCCCGAACAAGTACTCGGAAAGAAGTTTTGGGGTCAACAGAATGGCCCGTGTCTAGCAGACGTTCAGTAATCGATGTACGGGGAATTCTGTTTTCTTGTTTCAAAAACCAGCTAGGTAAATGCTCCATAGATCTGCGTTGCGTTCGCCCTATATACTTGCATCCGCAAGTGCATGTAAATTCGTAAACACAGTTTGAAGTGACGGGCGACGGCAAGGCATCCTTTGCATAAGAAATTGGTAAGGGCTTCGTTGGATTGCAAATTATGAGTTCGGTATGGATTCATTTTGTATTTTCTCTTACGTGATTTACGTTATGCATTGAGAGGCAGCAACTGAACAGCTCTCTCGAAATATCATGGATCCAATAGATCTTGCTGTTTTTGCCATCTTTAAATTTGTACCTGGGAAACGTTGCTTTACATTAACGGTAGGAACTGTGGTGTAAACGTGCAGGTAGACCAAAGGAATAAAAGAGGCCTGTTTTATGCTCGTCTACCAATTTTTAAAGCGAGAGTTGCTTGCATCAATTCGCAACTGCTTCCTTGTCAAAAAATATTTTGGCTTTCTGTCCTGATTATTTTGCCGTTCCTTAACATCCAAGGGGACATATTTATCGTTTGCAGGAAGGTGCACTTACTTTTGCAACTTTTAAGGCAAGGCGCAACAGTATATTCTGCTGCTCATAGTGACTAAATAAACTTAAAAGGCAATGACTTAGTCGCAGGCCTTGTCGACATCTATCTGAAGAATGCAAATTGAACTCTTGATACAAGACATTATTTCCGTATCAGATCATATCACCGCAAATGTCAGGATACAATTTTATCGTAGCTGTCTTTACCGACGGAATTTAGTCGAGCATTTAACTGAATAAAGGAGTCACCCTAAGGGGCAATAACTCATTACGATGCTAGTACTTCACTCAATATTTGAGTTTATCCTGTGCTCCAGTAAATTCAGTATTTAGCTTGTGAGCGTAGCGAGCCGGAGGTTGCGGTCATTTACAGTTTTCCGTACATTGTGCCCTATTTATGTTAGCTAACGTTTGACTGCCACTTATTAGAGGCCGCTACTATTTCATTCCGCAACATATCTTTCCGCGGATATAGAATAATATGGGCACTTAACAGCATTTCTTTGCTGTTCAGAAGCAAGTATTTTAGAACAACAATTCTCATTACTTTCGTAACAAACACCAAACCCCGAGCAGCTATCAACCGGTCTCTTATTCGAAATATCTACGAGCATTTTGGGGTGCAGGGCAATTATCACGACCCCTTACACATACAGACAGCCCGATGATGATCCTTCCCTCATCTACTGCCATGTGAATATGTCCATGTTCGCAAAATTGATGCGGCTACTTCTTTTTGAAAATTAGCACTAATTTCACAGATAGGAGTCACTTATTCTGTCGGAGATGCTCCTCGATAACATTGCTATC